TCAAACTCTTGTCATTTTGACAGTGGGTTTCAGGTCAATGCTGGGGTGATATTTGCCAAGGGCGCACTATTGAAAGTGAAGAAAGGACAATCATTGTCACTGTATCAGTTTCCTAGGACAGTCACAACAAAGTGTCACAAGCTACAGGACTTAGCACAACAGAAATTGGTTGTCTCTCAGCCCTGGAAGTCAAGGTGTCAGCAGGTCACACACCGGCTGAAGTTCCAAGAGTGGGGCTCCTCTAGGTCTCTCTCCTAGTTTCTGGTAGTTCCCTGACCTGTGGCAGCCTAACCCTCAATCACCACAAGGCTTTCTTTGTGTTTTTTTTTTTTTTTTTTAAAGATTTATTTATTTACGCATGTGAGAGCTGGGGTACGGGCCAGAAGTGTGGGGGGTGAGAGGATTCACCAGAGACGGAGTGGGGAGCAGAACAGGCAGATTGACCTAAGTACACTGTTGAGGGGAGCAGTGGGCGAGCCAGGAGAGGTCTGCCACGCCATGTGGGTTGCTCCCTGGCTGGCTGGGGATTGAACTCATGCTGCAGAGGCTGCAGATTGCTTAATAGTGCTGTGCTTAACCCCTTGCGCCACCAGGGAGGCCCCACATGGCTTTCTTTGTAAGTGTGTGTCTCTATGTCCAAATCTTCCCTTTTTATAAAGACACTGGTTATATTTGATCAGGGGCCCATCCTAATCCACTCTGAGCTCACCTTAACTTACTAATTCCATCTGCAATGGTGCTATTTCCCACAGGGTCATGTCCTGAGGTCCTGGGGGTTAGGACTTGAACATATGCATTTGGGGAGGGACACAGTTCAGCCCATAACACTCATCAAGGATATTTCCTGTATGTTTCACCTCCCTTCTGACCCCTGCTGCTGGGTGGGCTTATTTCGTTTCTCCAATGGGAAAATGTCCCTAAAGAAATTACTGTGTGCAGAGGGAAGGCAGGTGAGGAACTCATCTTCCAGCTGAATTTTCAACTCTATTTTAAAATCATTTTCCTTCTTGGTGAGTGCAGACTGAAACAGCAATAAGGATTTTTCAAACCTGTAATGTCAGTCTTGTCAACAAAGGAAACGTGCATCACTGCCCTTCTAACTTGATCATCTCACGGGCTTTCATTGAGATTTCACGGCTTCTGTAGTTCAATTCCCAGTCCACTATTGAAAGGGAAATAAAGTGTTATTTTGCTTTATTTTTAACAGGGCTGTGGGAGACTAGAGAAATAACCATTTGCAGAGGGAGCATTGAGAATTAGTGGACCAGGATTAATACCTATCAGGAAAGTGGGATAAAAGCAATACACTTGGAGAGCAGAGAAAGTCCCGAGCAGCCCCCATTCAGTCGTGGCAATTACTTTACTCTGGTGACATCATCTAAGTTCGAAGTGACAGAGACAAACCGTTCTCTTCAGGATTGTACAAATTCATCCTCCTTCCTAAGAACTTAGAGTCTTTTCTGTTAACTGGTAAGAACTGCTTAAAGTGATCTGGGACCAGATTCCAATTTTTCATCGAGGATATGAAAATTTATAGGTCGGCAGAATCACTTAAATCTTCTAGTCAAATTTATGCTCCTATTTCCTACCCTTGTGTGACTGACCAAACATAAGAAGAAAATGGAAACATGTCTACACAGAAAACCAAAAATAAGAGCAACATGTTAGCGAGATCACCTGGCATGAAATCACCAAGTTACAGAGATCATAATCAGAAATGAAGGGCAAAAAAGACATGAGCAAGGGAGGGTTGATAGTAAGAATAAAAGAGTGTTGAGAATTCAAGCCTGGGACTGAATTAAAGATTACTCAGTTTCAAAGTTGTAGCCAAAACACAAAAAATAGTTGTCTGTTCCTAAATCCTTGCCCACCATGAAGTTGTTCTTGGCAATCAAATACCCAAGAAATAGCACAAAGAAGGGCAGTGTAATTCATCTAGTAGTGAAAACTTGGAATCTGTAATCCGGAATGTGAATCCATAATCCAAACAGTGTGGTGTCGGGGACATGGGGGTGCATTACACAAGGACAAACCCACCACTGTTTGAGGGTTAAGATTCATAATTCCAATGAATCTGTAGTCGCACCAAGAGGTTTTTAAAGTCTGTTTTGTTGAATTTTTAAGAATAAGGGTGACCCCCAAAATCTAATCTGTGTTCTTTCTAGCTTTCTAATCTCATTTGGAATCTCCAAGGAAGAACCTGCTTCTAGACTCACTCAGATTCTTGGCAGGTTGTAGTTCTTGTGATGGTAGGACTGAGGTCCCTGTTTCCTGCCTGGCTTTGAGCTCCTGGATACTGCCCATTTTCCTTTCCACTTGCTCCCCTTCATCTTCAAAACCAGCAATGGAGAAATTTTCCATGCTGAATGCCCTTGTGCTTCCAATCTATGACTTTCTTTTTTTCTGCAACTAGCCAGAGAGAACCTCTACTTCTAAAGAGCTCATATAGATAGGGTAGGTCTACTCCTTATCTAAGGTCAACTGGCTGGAGACTTCAGTTACACCTGCAAAAATTCCTTCTAGCTTGATTGGATAACTGGGAGAAGGCATGTGAACACCAAGGGTTGACAATCTTGGGGCTCACCTTAGAGTCTACCACAGTATCCTTCTTGCATTAGCAGGCAAGCCAGTTTGCCCAAATGTTAACAGCCAGGTTTTCATATGTACAGACAGTAAAAATAGCAGAAGATTGCAATAAAATTGCATGATGTATTTTTCAAGACCATTACAGTATTTTTAAAATTCATCTTACTGGTTTTAAAAACAGTTCTTAACACTTCTGCAGTAATACAGTGACTTTAAAACCAGAGTTGTAGTGGATCCCAGGGTTGAGAGAGCTGGTGGTGGTTGCTGTCTTTCTTAGAAGGAGCTGGAGAACTTTGTGTGGTCCCACTATCAGGCAGCTCCACCTACTTTGCTGATTGAATAGCCTCTAATATAATTATTTTGGTTTTGAATCTGAATTTTGTAGCAAGCAATGTACAAGCAATTTTGTATTGAATCTTAATTTATGTTAGCATAATAATGAATCTCAGAGTTAGAAACTAGAAGAAATAAATGAATGAAACCAAAAGTTTCTTACAAAATGTCTTGGAAAAAATTGTGAATTGCAAAGACCAAAATATAAAAGGCCTATAATCATGCCACCCAGAGTTAACCATGATGAAGTTTTTGGTTTTTGTCTCAATCTTCTTTTTCTCTCTTCATATATACATTATCTATATATGTAAAATATATATATTGGTCAGAGTCCAATCAGGAAACAGAAACCACATAATTTGAACAGAGAAAATTTATTATAAAGCTATTACAACATAGGTGTAATTAGGGAGTTGAAAAGAAAACTCTCGAGAACAACCCTGAGAAAGCACCTCCAAGGAAGGAACATGCTTGACATACTTGCTACAAAGGAACAGTGTGTCATGGGCCCAGCCCATAAGCTCAATGGGGCTTCGTGAGGCAGATGTGGAACTTTCTGGGCAAGATGTCTTCCCAGTCCCCCTGGCTGGTGACATCTCTGGGCTGCCTGGGCCAGAACTGATGTACAACTGCTGGGCCAACAGGAACACACCTAGCAGGGCAAGTGTTCAGAGCAGTTGGGGCACCAGGAGTTGGCTTGTTTGTGGGATGGACAGAGGCCTGGGCTGAAAGTTGGGAGGGAAGTTGCAGTAAGGTCGCTGCCTGTTATAAGGCTGAGTGTTTGCTGAGGGACCGCACACTCTGCATGGATTGCAGAGGCAGAGGCCTCTGGCAGTGTGTATGGAAGCAAGAAGGAAAACAGAAGTGAAACCCCAAAATCAGGAAGCAAAACTTCCTCCTGTACTGCCTCTCATTTGCCCTTTACTGACAAACCTAACGTACTACTTGCTGCAAAGGAACAGTGTGTCTTGGGCCCAGCCCATAAAGTCAGAAGGGGTAATGAAAATAGATTTGGAGCTGAGAGGCAATAGAGTATTGCTGAACTGAGATTATTGCATATATCTTATTTTATACTTTTCTTTTTTTTTACTACAAAATATACTAGAGTATTTATCCATATGATAAAAATATTCTTCTACAACGTAATTTTAATGACATGATATTCCACATGTGGATGACCCATAATTTATTTAATCAATACTCAAGGTTGGGACACTGGGGTTATTTCCTTTTGAATTTTTAAAAAAGATTTATTTATTTATGCATATAAGAGCTGGGGCGTAGGCCAGAGGTATGGAGTGGTGAGAGGATTCACCAGAGTGATAATGGGGAGCAGAACAGGTGTATCTACTGAAATATACTGCTGAGGGAAGCAGCGGGTAAAACAGGAGAGGTCTGCTGTGTCATGTGTGTTAGCTCCCTTGCTGGGCATCGAACTCATGCTGCAGTGGCTGCGGATAGCTTCATAGTGCTGAGATTTTATCCCTTGCACCACTAGTAAGGCCCTCACTGGGTTTATTTCTAGTGGATAGTTATTATAAAAAGTGTTGTAATTTTCTAATAGTGAATTCTTGTCATATTCTAATTTCTTTAGAATAAGATTGTAAGATTCCTGGATCAAAAAATCTATATATGCTTTCTATTTTTGATGCCTACTCTGAAATTTCCCTCCAGAAAGATAATATGTTTTAAAGCAACAAGTCTTAGTAAAATTTCTGCATTTCCTTTTTTATTGTGTTCTAATTTTAAAATACTAATTAAATGAATTGAAATGAATTTTATAACTATGGTAATGTAATAGTCTTGGAGAAAACAACTCTTATAACCACATTTAATAATGAGAGATGCCAAAGAATTATTTAAAATGATAATGAAGTGGCTATTAGTACAGTACCAAAGACAGAGAAATGCTCAGAACTTACAAATGAAGACTTTAATTATTCTAAACACAGATCTCAAACTGTAAACACAGAACTTATTGTAATAGACCGTTTTTGTATTTTACAAAGAAGAGAAAAAATTAATAGTCTACTTTAAAAAGCTTGTCTAAAAATAAACAATGATTTCTACTGTTCAACCAGAACAATAACCTAGAGGAAGAAAATCTACGAGACGAGGAAGGACAGAAAGAAGAATGGGAAGGAAGAGAGAAACAGAAAGAGAGAGAGAGAGAGAGAACAAGAAGTGAGGAATATTTTAAAAAGAAGAGGCAGAAGGAATCATGAATAAAAGAAGAAAAGGTAGGAGCAAAGAAAATAAGAAAGAGTAGAAAACCAGAACCTAAGCAAAGAGACTTAAGCATTTTAAAGCAAACTCCGTCTCTAGGATGGTAATATTTAATGGGCTAAATATCAAAACATTTTTAGTACTAGGAATACACAGTTTAAGAAAGCCATGCTTGCAGGAAATAAGACTTAATTGCCCAATTTGCCAGAGAAGCAGGGATGGCAGTGTTTTTGTGACACTTACGTGGTTGGGACCCATCATCATGGAAGTGAGTGCAGGAGAGTGTGCATTTCTGCACAGTCACACGGGCTGCTATGTTTTCACTTGCTGTAAAAGACCTTAAAATAAATGACACACATATTTCAACAAAGACAATTTAGAGCAGATGTGGTGAGCACTTCCACCAATGAGTGGTAGAATTTACTTTTTGATGGCTTAGTTCTGGCAACATGGTGTCTGAACCAGACAAGACCAATGTGAGCCTGGCTCATGAAGGAGCCAGCACGCCAGGCTGCTGAGGAGAAGCAGGTCTTCCCGCAGGAGTCCTGTGCTCACAGGCCTGGTAGAAATTTTCTGGGGCCCGCAAATTCATGTGTCAGGAAAAGTAGCACAAAAGACATGAAACATGGCGGAAGAGAGCCAACACCCCCTAAGCTTGGAGCATGGTTATTGCCTTGAACTTGCTCCTACAGGTATCCTTTTTTTCACAAAAAGCTCCATCCAATGGAGCGAAACTAAGTCAGTAAGACTCAGGCCTGGCCATTCTTTTAGAGTATGGGGCTCACACCACTCACTGGAAAAAAAAAAAAGAAATCCATTGCTACTCCTCTACTATTTCCCCTGATCTATTTGGGAGCTAGCAAATTGATTTGATAAAACAGTGATAGATTTGTCAGATTAAGATAGTAATTTACTTTCATGAATTTGAGAGACATCAGTGTCTCACAGTGAGAAGAACTATGGCTCCCCTGGTGGGATACATTTAAATTCATTAGATTTTCCGGCTTTCATCTGAGACACTGAGACTTTTTCTTCTCGGCCAATAAATCCTTTCAATTTTTACTTCAAATGGCACTAAACAAGCACTCATCAATTTATATTTTAAATTCTCCTAACAATATCCAGTTGGATAAATCTGTTTAATTAGCAGTGGGTTGATGCTTTCTTGGCCCACTGCAAGTCCAGTTAAGAGAATAAAAGAAAGGCATTGGAAGCCGCTGGTTGGAAAAACATGCGTCCTACAATGGTGGAGAACAAGAAGAGACATTCTCCCAACAAATGTTAACCCAGGGGAAAAAATTTGAATATATACAAAAGATTAATTTAACAATAGATGAATGGCAAATGAGAAAGCTGCCAGTGACCAGACTTTCTCAGGAGCCAACCTTTAACAATATGGATTATTTCGGATAATTCATGGTTTGCCACTCTTTATTCTTTGTCTCCTCTGTAATATCCAGGGCACATCTTAGACAGATAATTAGGGCATTATCATATTCCTTGACTAAGTCGGACAAATTGCACTGGGCTTCGCGGTAAACCGACCTAGGGCTCTATCATTAGCATTGTCTAATTGTTCCAAATAAAGTCTTTGCCTTTTTATTGCATCAACTTTATTTGTCAATACTCAAGAAAGAACGCCTGTTCCCCTTCCTGTAGGGCCTCCTGAATATGCTAGTCACTAGGTAATCTTACAGTTAATACAGGCCACAGCATGGTAAAATATAAGAAAATGTAAAGGTCAAAAACATGTTTCTATTATGAAAAAAATGAATGATAATGACATAATTTTTTCAGCTCATCAGGCTCTTTGCTAAGTGCTGCTGTTATTGCCAGATCAGTAGTGTCTAACAAAGAAGTGCTTTCTGCAGCCTGCTTCATTAGTCTGCCCTGTAGGACCTCACCTCCAGACCTTTCACTAATCTGTTGGCCAGCTCAATAGTCTTGTTAGTTCTATTCACTTCTTCCTGACAGCGGATTTTCTCAGCTCTAGCCCTCCCAGAGGCCGTGGTTAAGGCAGCCAGGTTTGTGTCTAGTTCCTTTAAATAAAAACAGTGAGAGACAACTTTGGACATTGTCAGAACAAGTAAAAATATCACCGCTGACTTATTTTATATTGCAGAAAGTTAAATTATACAGTGTGCCCTAGAAGTAAACATAACTGCGTTCAGGAGACTGTGCCAATTCACACAATGAGAAGGTGCAGTGGAGAAAATGGAAGAAAAGGATATTCGGCCGTTTATGTAATTTTTGTTGTTTGTTCAAAACAGTACCGAGGGGGAAAAAAAGAACGTACACACAAATTCAAAATCCTAGGGGGAAATGGAGAATGCTATTTTCCCAGACAAATTACCCGAAGTCATGAAGATTTAATACAATTGATTTGTGTGTGCCATTAGTGGCAATGACACACTTAATACAAAGTGTCCCAAAACATTTTGCATTGAGAGCTGATGGCAAGAGAAAACCCAGGGGAAGCTTTTAAGGTGAAATTTGAAGAACTGTGATGAATCAACAGCTCAGAGGGAGGGAGCAGGAGTTGGGGGTGGAGGGGTTGGAGGGGCTGGGGCGGTACCAGCAAGAACAGAATTTCCAGCTGGGGATGTAATGGAGAAAGGGAGCCAAGGAGATTGGGGGGTCGCAGGGAGCTGGCTGCAATGACAGCAGTGCTCACCGAGGATAAGTGGAAAGCATGAGTAGGAAAATTAGGTTGTGAGTGTATGTGTGTTCAAGAGACTTGGTTGTTTTTCTGGAGTAGGAGGAAGGTGAGAAGAGAGATTTGGGGGGCGGGGGCAGAGGCAACACTCAAGAAGAAGCATTGTTCAAATGGCAAAGTCACTGTTTGTGTTTCCAATTTGCTGTTCTCTTTCAACCAATTATCAGCTCATTTAATGTTTGCAAAGAACTTCCATGAGGACAGGAAAACTGCTTTTGCTCTTCCAGCATATTGGAGACAGCAAATGAGAACGTTCATGGCATCGGGTAGAATTTTGCTTGTCATGGTTTTATGACACCGGAAACAATGAGTTAGAACCAGGAAAACTCTCCTTGGATATATAACTTACACAAGGCTAGTTTAGCTGTTGAGCTATTATCAGTCCATGATATACTCAGGGAAATCGAAGCTAAGAACCTGACAAGACATGGGAAAATTCTGGGTACAGAACCATGGAGAAGATACTTGACTATTTTTTGAGCCCATAGAATTATTTCTAGGCTAGCCCTGACCTAGTTCCACAAAATTCCTCTCAAATCAGTAAAGGAACCCCCCTCCAACCTTCTGAGTTTTCTATGTCCTCCCCTGCTTTCCAAACAACTGTCATGGGGACCAATGACCATCCAATGTAGACCATTAAGCTGGAGTAGGAGGAAATACCAGATACCACAAAGTTTATTATCTAACATTTTATGTTGTCATTTGCACTGATGATAACACAGGAGGCAAAATAGGCAATCTTTCACCAGGAACATGATTATCCCTTACTTTCTAGAATCCTATGATTAATCATTTATTAGACAAATGACTACTTTGTTAGTTTGTTAGTGTTGTAATGAAGTATCACCAAGGGGGTGATATCAGCCACAGAACTTTATGGTTTCACAGTTTTAGGGGCTGGAAGTCCAAAATGTTCCTTCTGAGGACTGTGGGGGATATTTTGTGCCATTCCTCTCTCCTATCTTCTGGTGGTTTTCTGGCAGTCTTTGGTTTTCCTTGGCTTATAGATGCGTCACAGAAACCTCTGCCTTCATCTTCCCATGGCATTCACACTGTGTGAATGTCTGTCTAAAATTCCTATTTTTTAAAAAGATTTATTTATACAACAAGAACTGGGGTACAGGCCAGAAGTGTGGGGGGTGAGAGGATTCATCAGAGACAGAGGGGGAAACAGAACAGGCAGATCGACTGAAATACACTGCTGAGGGGAGTAGCAGGCGAGTCAGGAGAGTCTGCTGCACCATGTGGGTCGCTCCCTGGCTGGGTATTGAACTCGTGCTACAGTGGCTGCGGATAGCTTCATAGGGGGTGTCTTAAACTCTGTACCACCAGGGAGGCCCTACATTTCCTATTTTTATAAAGGCAGCAGTGATGTTGGATTAAGGTCCACCTTAATGACCTCATTTCTACTTGATTAGCTCTGCAAAGACCCTGTCTCCAAGTACATTCACATTCTGAGGTGCTAGGAATATTGGGAGGTATGAAGTTCAACCCATAACAGCCATCAAGTTCCAGACACTTGAAGGAGTGGGAGAGAACAAAGATAAGTCAGGTGTGGCCCCGACCCCCCAAAACTACAATTTAGTGAGGGAAACAGCTGATAGGCAAATAAGGGCAAATTAAACAAGAAAATTTATAGCCAAATGTGGCCATACTGAACCTGAGTACCTGACAAGCCCAGGTGGTTTGTTTCTGGGGAGGGGAGGAAAGGGACAGTGACCCAGACCCTTACATTCTCTCCTCATAAGTGGGCGTGAGGGGTGTGCAGTCCCCCATTCTCCCTAGAAGTTTTCTGGGCAGATTTCCTGCCAGGGAGTAGGGCGATCCCCTGGGTCTATGACTAGGGGGCTTCAACGGGTAGAGCAGTTGATGTTTGGGTCAGGAAGAAGGGAGAACCCTCAGGGCAGGCCCCAACAGGAATGGGGTTCTGTCTTTGGCCCATGTGTTTTAGGCACCCATGGGGACCCAGTGGTGGGCCTGGGGATAGGGGTTCCCTTGCAGTCTTCACAGCTCCACAGCCCTTGGGGAGAATTAGACCCAGGATGTCTGTTTGAAGGATTTCCTATTCTCTAACTTAGTTTCTTTCTGCTGGAGGCCGTTCCCTACCGCCCTCTCCCTTGTCAAATGGAGAAGGGCAGGGAAATTCCAGCAGACTTTGTGAGGCACGTACCCTTGGTGAACTTTACCCAGTGTCAAAGATTCATGGTTAATCATTCTTTGAAAGATCATTTGAGTTCATTCTGGAGGGGAAAAGAAGGTGGAAACTGGAAAGCAGGGAAAGGAAACAATGCAGGAAGG